ATTTTAAAAAAGTGAAGATCTATATAAAATACTGTTAGCCTTTCGCAGTACATCAATAAGTAATAGTTATAATCCAGCTGAATTGCTAATGGGTCGTAAGTTGAGAGGAACTATTGCAATTGCCCCATCACAATTAATTCCGTAAGTTTCAGATTTACAAAAGCTACATATGAGGAAGAAGAGAAAAGCACAACAAAATTTAAATTTTGTTTCTCGCCAGTGAGCCTCTGAACTTCCTGAATTAACTCTTGGACAAAAGGTATGGGTATCAGATTTAAGGCAAGGAGTTGTCTTAAATTAATGTAAATTATAGAGGAAATAGTAAGTTTCTCCACCTATTACCAGTATCAACATATTAAGGAAGATCTTCCCAAAACTGAGACAAAGTTAGAGGAACCTCTAGAAATCATTACAACCAGAAACCTCTGAAAATTGTTCTACACCAGTTATACCACTGAGAAGAAGCAGTAGAACTATTTGAGCTTTTTGATGAGGGAGATGTATAGGTTTTTGCCTACTTGGCAAAATGGATTGTTGTAAATTGTCTAAGACATGTTAGGGTAGGTGGGGCAAAGGTTCACACTTACATTTTTCAGTAACCTCTGTTGATATTACTGAAAAAACTTGAATATAATGAGAAACTTTAGTCCAATCATTACGAATACAAAAACAAAAATGAGGTAAAAATTATTTTTGAATCTTTTGATCTAATTTTTCTTGAAAATTGATATTGTAACCCTTAATCTTTCAAACTAAGATGATTATTGGTTAGGTATGTTGATAGTTTATTGTTAGAAGACGTCTTCTACATGATATTTTCAAGTTTACATTTGCATAGTTTCAGATTGAGGTTAGATTTATTATTGGTGGCTGAATGGGAAAAACTACTCACACAAATGGGCGTACCTTTGCCCCCAGTGAGCTAGACTTGGCAAATGCATAATTTAAGTTGATGTTCAACTTAAGTTCAAAATTAATATCAAGTTGAGCTTTATATTCTATCAGTTAATTTTGTCCCTATTGGCAATAAATAAATAAATAAACAAGAACTGTTGGAGGTTTCCTCTAGTTTCAAATGAATACTTTAATGATACAGAGTTCGGCAGCAAATCAGGCGATTTTGAAATCACTTTAGTTTGTTCACAAATGAAAACAACTAATAATGCTACAGGGATCATGAACTTTGATTTTATGGGTTGACTTTAAAATTTCTGATTCCTTGCTTTCTCCTATGCTTAAAGGAATAATTTAAAGCATCCTTTCACTACTATTAGCCAATTAGCTGGTCATAACTGGACAAGAGATTTCATGAAGAGGAACAAATTATCATTGACAATTTCAATTCCATTATCCCATTTTTATTTTTGCTAGGAAGAGGCATAACTCTTTATTATTGAATAATGGCCCAGTTAGTTGTGAAATGGCTGTGACCGACTTTGGATACATGAATTGTCAAGCTTTTATTAAATACTTAAATCATTTTTAAAAGAAGAAAAATATTTAAATGCGCAGTCTGCCTCTACATAATAGTAGCCACCGCACTCAGCCATTAGATAGGAATTTCTCCAGGCCTATGAAAGCCTATTCTGACGATTTTTGTGATAGGTGGACCACAGACTATGCTGGTCAATCTTTGGACAGAATACCAAATGACCAGATTGGTCAGGCGGACATTTGAGAAATCAGCTTCACTAGATATAGCTAGAGCGGGACTTAGAATGTGTGGCATTCACCCATTTGATGAACATCGATTCAATGATAAATACTTGCTGTTTTCCACTGTAACTGATCAAGATGAAATGTATAATATTGGTAGAAATGACAATGATCTCCATTGTTTTAACTCTTTTGGTGAAGAAGAAGTAGAAGGACAAAAAGAGGTGATGAGCACGCAGGTCAAGCAAAAAGAGAAGAAGAGGAAGGTGAAGAAAGAAAAAGGAATTATATAAGAGAAGAAAAAGGAATTGAAGAAGAAAAAGTAGAAGGTGCACAAAATAGAGATTGCAAATGGAAGAAACTGTGAAGAAGAAAAAAAATGCGAAGAAGAGGTAATTAGAGAAATATATCATACAAAAAAATAGATTGCCTAAAATATTTGTACAAAGGAAACGGTATTGAAGAAGCTTGAAGTCGATAATACTCACGGGAATTCCAAATTCTCGGAAATTGAGAAAGAGTAGAACTGCAGCAAGACAACTTTTTGTAACGAATTCTAAAAAGATGAGAATTAAACAATCCGTCTATCCTACAAATAATACGGATTCTGAATCTGAAATATCCATACATGATGACTCTAATACACCAGAATTATTTGAATGTGATTTAGATTCTGAAAATACAAAATTCAAGTCTGGCGATTTTGTAGTGGTAAGAGTATATTTATCGAAGGTAAGAGATCATTCAGACTGTATGTTGCCAAAATTAACAAGATTGTTGAGAATGAATATGAGAGTGTCTTTTTAAAGAGAGCTCAGAAGACCATGAGATTCATTAAGACAAAAGAAGAGGCATATTTTGCGAAATCAGACATTCTTCTTGCAATGCTACTAGCTAAACCAGTAGCTATTTAGTAGTATTACAAGATTCAAAAATATGTTATCTTTTCCACACAGTTTTGTTAGTGTGAATATTCCAACATTAATCTGCTACTTCTAATGATATATTATTGTACTTTCAATACATTTGTTCCAAACAAATTGTTTTTCTATTATTTCCTCTATCAAATATAGAATGGGACAAAGGTATGGATTTACATTTTTTAGTTATCAACACAAAAAAAATAATTTTGAAGAATTTCCATTTACCTATGATTACAAAATGTATCAACTTCACTTTTATCCATATTCTGGGTCAACTCAGGCAGTAAAAAATTCACTAGAGAAATTTAGAAAGTGCGTACATTTGTCCCCACCCTTATTCATTTTGTGTGGTTACGTGGACTAAGGGGGACGTGGAAACTATTCGAAAAAAGGAAGATTAGATCTTAGAAAATCCTAAACATTATCCATACAGTACAAGTACTTGGGATGAATGAATTTTATCCTTATACGGTTTGAGAGGGGATATCTTGAGGTTTTATAGCAAAAAAATTCAAACTACGAAAAAAGAAAGATTTCCGAAAAAAAAATATCGAGAAAATAGACAATAAATAAGCTATTATCTGTGATGTTTTTTAATATCGCATGCTTATGTGCTTTATATTTATTAAAATTATATTAACAAGTATATAATGAACAAAAACCAAACCGAGCCTCAACATCTTTATTGACCTTATATTGAATAATTACAGTGTAGTGTACAGAATACCTTCTCAACTATTAAGCGGAAGCGTGAGTCAAACTTTTAGGTCAAGAAAGTAATTTATAATTTATTAATCCTGCGAATTTAAACAACAAATTCGTTATCGTTCTACTGCTTTAATCATCAATCTTGGTATGTTGTGTCATAAAATGGTTAACATTCATAAACGTTACGAAGAAATTTGGTAGGGGAAATGATATTACTGTTAATATGTTTAATTTTGGTTTAATTATTTTGACAAATAAATCTGCATTAATTATCCAAACAAATGGTGTTATACTTTCGGTCTCCCCAGCGTCTAAGGTTGTGTCTTTTTGAAGAGAATCATCTGAGTTTTATTTGGGTTGGGTGTTACTCTCCATCTCTGACACCACCTGTCGGCCAGGTTAAGGTTAAGGTGATTTTGAGCAAACCAAGTACTGAATCTACGTTTCGTGATGTTGTTACGAGAGCCGTATCATCTGCGTAGAGCAAAGTGACCCCGCTCCTTTACCGTAATTAGACGATAAGTCTAACAAATGAAAGGGACAATCCGATGTTCAACAGTTTCTTGGCCAGTCCAGCATGCCAAACTTGGTCAAAGGCTTTTTGAACATCGAGAAAGATGGCTAAAGATACTTTTCCGTCGTTTAGACTTTGTGTGAGGTGTGTGACGATTTCTGTCAATGTCGTTTTGCTAGAGTACCCTTTTCTAAAGCCGAATTGAAACGATGGAAGGATGTTGTGTTCGGTGGTAAAGTCAACGAGTCTCTCCTTGAGGATCCTCTCCTAGACCTTAGCCAGAACGTTTAGGATTGATATCAGCCTATAAGAGTTTAGATCGGTACGGGTTTTGCCCTTTTTCAAGAGCTTAATTGTATTGGCTACTTTCCACGGAGATGGAAGTGGCATTGGTTATACTGGTCAGGTAGAGAGCCAGCGTCGCAATAATCAAGACTAGAGGTAGCTGGAATCCACTGTCTGGCTTGCAGATTATTAACCGGTAGTTTGATTACCGCAAACAGTCGATTGTATTCTGTTTTGAGTAGGGGGTTACGGGTGCGTTGAAACTGATGGAGGAGTCGTCACTTTTGTTTAATTTAGTCGACAATATATTGAGGTAGAGGTGGTTTACTGGGGTTGATAACCCTATTGGGGACTGATATCTCAATTGCTTGATTTATCAGTTCGGTTATAACTGTGATACCTTGATTCTGATCAGGCTGTGTTAAGTTACCTAACTGAGGAGTATTGACTGAGAAGAAGGTTCTGAAGAGGTCTCAGTGGGCGTGTTTGTAGTCTCTTATTCTTTTAGAATTCTGGAGGTAAGGGAATAAATATCTGTTCTTTAACCAGAAGGTTTAGGTGATCCGACGTGATCGAGCCACTTAAAAAGCATTCGTCATCCGGTTCACAGTTACGTATGAGGTGTAGGGGGAGGTTAAGGACCAGATCCGAAAGTTCAATGCCTGCACGGTTAGTTGCCGTGTCAGCTGCATGTAAAGGAAGTATAAGAATTTACAGTTCCCGCGAGTGACGAAGATGCGCAGCTGGGTATGAATCTCAGACTTACAATCGGCATACTTTCGATATAATCTCTTTATATCGTGCTAAAACTATGAACAGTTTAGAAAATAGTTGGGGAGGTGGAGGAGACTTTTGACACGTACTGAAAAGTATACATAGTTAAGTACTGACGAATAAATAAGAGCTACACTTTTGTAAAATATATTTATTTGCGTCACAACCATCTAAAAATACAATCATAAAATATATAAGCGTTATATAACATTCAATAGAAATAAATACATTTTATAATAGGTTTAACACAATTTTTATTGTAAAAATTTAGCAAATATCAGGTGCAGTCTACCGTTTCAAGCATTTTGTGAATTTTAAGCTCACATTTATCTTATATTATTATAAAAGTTCACTCAATTAATGCGAGCAGGATCTTTCTGATGTTTGAAGATTCGTCGCTCTGGAAAAGAAGTAGATAAAGTAACAATTCGCAAAACAGCTTTGTATAAAACATGTAATTTTGTTATTTAATTAGAAATAAAACTTGAAAGTGCTTAAAAGACAAGAAAATATTTTATTTTTTCCAAAGTAGTTATATATGACGATATAATATTCGCAATTATTTGCCACGTGGGATGGTGAACAAATTGTCCTACTAATATGTAGAGGTGATCAAATCAAATCCATCGCATAAGCTTCCACTGCGATTTTTCTTTTGATAAGATTGTAGTATTATTCAATCAAAAAGTGGCCCCAAAATATTTCTCTGTTGCATTTTGTTTTTAAAAAAGCATGTGTAACATGGACCATATACAATCAAAAAGTGGCCCCAAAATATTTCTCTGTTGCATTTTGTTTTTATTAAAGCAGCAATAAAAAAATGCATTGAAATATTACCGCTTTTCTAGCATCTTAAAAGAAACAAAATCATTACAAATAAGTAGAGGCGTGAGACAGGGTGATACAATATCACCGAAACTTTTCAATCAGGCTCTTGAAGATACTTTTAAAAGATTAGAATGGGAAAACAAAGGTATAAAAATTTGTGGACAACGCTTGAACCATCTAAGGTATGCTGATGACATCGTATTGATAACCGATAAAAAAGAAGAATTATTTGAAATGATGAAAGAACTGGACGTAGAAGCGGGAAAGATAGGCCTTAATATGAATTACGGCAAGACCAAAACTATAACAAATACAGATGAAGACATCACAATGAGAATCGGACAAGATGAAATAGAACAAGTTAAGGATTATATATTATATCTTGGTCAAACTATAAAACTTAACAAAGAGAACCAAACAGCAGAGATCAAGAGACGAGATAGACTGGCATGGGCTGCATTTGGCAAACTAAGCTACATTCTTAAAAACAAAAGATATCCACAGCATCTTAAGACCAAAGTATATAATCAATGCGTACTCCCTGTTCTTACGTATGGCTCCCAAACGTGGACATTTACAACAGCAAACATGGACAAAATCATAAAAACCCAAAGAGCAATGGAAAGACAAATGTTGCACATAAGACTAATGGATAAGAAGAGAAACGAGTGGATAAGAGAGAAAACAAAAGTGAGGGATGTTAGACAAGAAGTTGCAAAATTGAAATGAAGATTTGCCGGACACAATATAAGACAAAAAGAAGACCGATGGAACAAAATTCTTATAAGTTGGAGACCGTGGGAATATAAACGAAGCAGAGGAAGGCCCCAAATGAGATGGGCAGATGATATCAAGAAGCACGTTGGCTCTAGATGGATGAGTGTAGCGACAGACAGAGAAGAATGGAAAAGGATTGGGGAGGCCTATGTCCAAAGATGGACCGAAGAAGGGTAATTAGATAGATAGCGTCTTAAACGTCTTCCAGTAGGAATCAGTAAATGAACGTCATCGATCTCACTGTATTCGACTCTACTCCTACTGCTAAGTAAATTACCAAAGATGAACCATGTGTAACCGGATCAAAAATTTTATTATTCTAATTCCTAGTACATCTTCAAATTAATGTAGTTCCTAATAGCTCCGACCATCGCCACAAAAGTATAACATTCGTAAACTCCTCGCCATTCATCTTCCTTTCTCTCTTTGAACGTGCAAGAGACATGACGAAGTTCTATTTGAGTGGTCTCTTAAATTGGGTGGTTTGAGTGAAAAAATAATGAAGGTTAGCATTGTTTTAAATTTTTCATTTTATTTCTTTATCTGAGCTCGTTTCCATAAGAGGGCAAATTATTAAGGAATGGCGCCTAATTAATTTTAGTTTTAAAGATTATACAAACAGATTGTATATGAATTTCGAAATAACCACTCCCAACCTCTTCCGACACGAGCAGAAAGGCCTAGATTGTTTGTGTACTTAAGTAAATAGTTTGCTTACATCACACAATAATCAAATTAAACTGTCTCTTAACTACTTTGAAAAAAACATTATTATAGTGATGTTACATTTGTTACATTCAAAACAAATCATAGCAAAAGTTTGGTTAGTTTGCAAGTCATGACTACAAAGTAATAAAATATGAAATTGTTGTGTAAAATATTGTATCTAGTGGCAGCTGTTAATATATTGCTAGTTGAGTGAACATCATCAAATACTGCACAAACTCTATTTCGAAAATACTTAAATACCTTACATTTTTCTGAGTATTTCTAGTAAATATTTTTTAAATATATGTATAATAATCCTTACGAAAACTTAAGAATAAATATTTTAAGTAAACTAGGTAACTTATAATCTATTTCGTTGAAGATTCATAGTCAAATAAGAGTAATTGTGATATTAACTTTTTTTGAATGCAATACCGAACAAGTATACACCTAGCAAAAAAGTACATAGTAAATTTTGGAAAAGAACATTTAGAAGTTAACCAATTAAAGTCAATAATGCTTTTGCATATTTTCCAGTGGCGTCATCCTAAAAATAAAAGAATATACAATTAAATAATTAGTACTGATGTTTTGTTAAGCAAAAATAGTCTTGTCCATTTTATAGTGTTTTTAAAGTAAGCACCGATTTGAAGCAAATATTAGAGTATAAGCTCAGGTGAGAAAACAGCATATTAACGTTTCATGTTTTATAGTGTATTTTTATGTATGAGAGAGTAATAAAACAATAAATTATGTATGCAAATCCCTAAACTGTTGATACGGGTGACTCAATGAAAAACAGATATTTGTCAACAAGTTTACAGAAGTATATAGGAAAACAATTTTAAATTGAGTATGACCACCAGGTATAAAGGTTGGAACAGAATAGAATACAATAGTTGTGAGGGTTACTAATCCCTAAATAAGGTTGCCAGTGTCAGAGTGATGGAGGTTAACAGGTACTAATGAATTTGCAAGAAATGTAAGATGTTTATTTTATTGGTTATATATAACCAATAAAAGTTTAATAAGTACCTACCTATTTGCAAAATAAAGTTTAATTCTTTAGATAAAATAAAACGTTTTATTTTATCTGAAATGAGTGCATTCCACGAAGTAAGGGTTTCAACAATCAAACATTTAGTTCTTTAATTTCAGGAATCTACGACAGTAATTGACTAGATTACGACCTTCTAAACTTATTCCACAGAAAATGTGATAGTGGGTTTCTCCATTTTGTAGGAAGGTCCAAGTGGTGTATTCAAAATTCTTAACAGTTCACTAAAAGTAGGTACTTCAGTTGCAAGGTGCAGTTTATTGTGTATACTAGTGTTATGGAAAATTTGAAAGTGCCGTGTCAACGCCGAAAAATTGGTCCTTTAACAGTTAATGAAAAAACATTAATATTTAATTGTTTTAAATCATTTACAGACAAACGTTTATGTGAAAGTGTTGATGAGACCGTTGAGTTAGTTAGCAGTACACTTGGTGTTGGGAAATCTACGATTTACAGAGTTATTAAAGAAGAGAAATGTGGTAGTTTTCAAATGCCACGTAATGCTCCAGGGAAACCAAAATTTCAAATAGAATATCATTTTAAAGAAGGACTTCGACAGAAAGTGCATAAATTCTTCTTTAGACATGAATTTCCAACATTGGATAAAGTTCTTGTCTCAGTTCGAGATGATAAGGATTACCCAGAAATGAGTCGAAGTACGTTATGGAAAATTTTAAAAGAAATAGGCTTCCGCTGGAAAAAGAATCCCAGAAAGTCTATTTTATTAGAAAGAAGCGATATTGTCATATGGAGAAGACATTTTCTAAGAACCATAAAGGAATTGAGAAACCAAAAAGAAAAATATTTTATCTTGATGAAACATGGATCAACGAGGATCATACACCAAATAAATTTTGGCAGGATGAAACTGTTACAAGTCAAAGGTACGCTTTTGTAAATAACTTATCTACTGGTTTAAACCCACCATCAGGAAAGGGACGCAGGCTGATAATAGTACACATTGGCAGTTCAGACGGTTTTGTTGAAGGTGGTTTATTAACTTTTGAATCAACTCGTACCGGTGACTACCATGAAGACATGAACGCTGATGTCTTTCAAGAATGGTTCGAACAAATGATAGATCTTCTTCCTAAGAACTGTGTAATAGCAATGGATAATGCAAGTTATCACTCCAGACTTATAGAAGGACTGCCCACAACCAAGTGGTTAAAAAAATACTTGCAGAATTGGCTGAGTTCAAAAACTATTACGTACCATCCCGGATCTATAAGAAAGGAACTTTATTCGTTGTGTGCCCTTCATAAAGAAAAATTTAAAAAATACGAAATTGCCAAAAATCGTGGAATGACAGTACTTAGATCCCCACCATATCATTGTGAATTAAACCCGATTGAACTGGTATGGGCACAGATAAAGAGTGAAGTTTCAAGAAAAAATACCACTTTTAAAATTCATGATGTTAAACAGTTTTATATTAATATTTTTATTCATCTATTTAACATACATTAGACGGTTTTAAAAACTCTTTTTCTCTTTTGTAATTTTTAAAAATTAAAAAAAAATGTGAATTTTTTAAAACCCATTTTAAATGTAGGCCAGTCAGTTCTAATATAGTGTGTGATAAAAGAGGTCACTTTTGTTTACATACACATAACACTTTATAACACTGAAATAATTCATTTATTTTTTACAATTATTCAAAGTAATTTTTCAATTAATCTTGAGCACGCCCATGGAGTGGTCGAAGGTACCAGTTAAAATTATGCTAATTACTCTCTCGTTCATAAAAATAAACTATAGCCAACTCACCCACACACACATACACGTACTATATATATATATATATATATATATATATATATATATATATATATATATATATAAATATATAAATACATATATATTTATTTTCATGTTATATAAATATAAATATATAACATGAAAGTTATAGCGAAAAATAAAATTTTAAATTACCACTTTAACACCCTGTATCTTTCTTAATATCAACATTTTATTAAAGCAACTTGACTTAAATCGTAATATTTTAAAGTGTGGAATCTACGGTTTCTTTTTGTACAATTACTTAAGGACCACCCTGTATATACAAACAACTAAGTTTATTAGGGCTGAAGTCAGAAGTTTGGCCGGGATGTTACAGAAACACTCTTTTGACTGTTGGTCTAGCTTTCGAAATTGTTTTATTCCATTTGAAAGACACTGTAATTAGAAGAATATGTAAATATTTACAATATATCACAAATTGTCGTGATTATACTCAAAATCCAGATTCTCACCGACGATGAATAAATCATGCATTCCACATCATATAGATTCAGACCCTCAGAATATATGAACCTTTCATGACATGGCTTCTAATACTCAAAATAAACTGTCTTCTATATCTTCTTAACAACTTTAGATATCAAGCGCAAATTTCAAAATGATGCTTGCTTTAAAAACATGTTTCTATCACTAGGTTTTTCAAACAATTTTGCAAAAATAAAAGAAACGTTTTCACTAAATATATACTTATATATTATCTGCATAGTTTTTAAAATGATCTTTATAAAATGTCTCAAATCCATTTTTAACAAGTTTAAACTAGATGAGTACTATAATAAATGTGTGGCAAGTGTTATATTCAAATTTAAACAAAAATTTTGTCCATCTTAGCCTATTATTGTCAACAAGGTCTTAAGATATTTCCCAGAGCAGTCATCCTAAAAAATAAAAAAAATTGATAGCTCAATATATTTATTTGTACAGATATGTTTTAAGGCTAGTTTACGGTATCTATGTATAAAAATAATTGTGAAACACGACAAGGATATGTTTAGAGACTTTTAAATTTGACTTAGAATAGAGGGAACTGTGTTTATTGTCTTTTTTGCTCAAAATTATAGATGCTAAATGCTAGAAAATTCCAGGAAGTCTACCTTTACTCTCAACTAGACAAATTGTGACCGTTTTTCCATACCTTCCTTCCTTCCACTTCATCAATCCCACCTTAACTATAAATATGACCATGTATTTTCCCATTACCATTCTCCCTCTTCTGCCCCGTTCTTGCTCTTCTTATATTTTTATATAGGCAAATTTCCTATTTTCTTCGATGTCATCTCCTATCCTAGGGGAATATTATCATTCAATTTTTTCTGTGGACGACCTGTGCTTCTTTTTCCAATTGACGACTTATTCCGTGCTATTGTAACTACGCTGTTCTCTACCATTCAACTGATATGGTTGTTCCATTCTCTTTTTCTTTCTTGCACCCATTCATTAATGTTGTTTATTCTGCATATTCCTTTAATCTCATTACTTCTTGTTCTGTCTAGTGTTTATCGGGTTACTCCAAGTTTCTTTCAAAATATCTTCTTCAAAATATCTATCACATGTACATCATATGTAACATTATTCTAATCTAATATTTAGCTAGTACCAGTATATAGGTATATCTTTTTTTTGTAATACTTATATCTTTCCCTACATTATAGTTTTGTATTAGTAGTGAACAAAGTGAAGAAGAAAGTGATTTAATCTAAGTTAGATAGAGTAAACTACATTGTCTACTTACCGACACCCGCTCGTACAAAGTCTTAGCGTATTTGGCCTCATAGGCTTCTTTAATATCTTCAAGATCTATTTCTGATCTAGATACTATAATTCTGATAAGTGTTTTGTCGTCTGTGCCCATACCAGCCATTGCGTCGTGGAGTTTGGTGGCCAAGTACACGGGTTTGTCTCTAATTGCCGTTACTAGGCTCAAGTAAGCCTTTTTGGTGCTTCCTGAAATAGAAAAATATGTATTACAATATGTATAAGCGTTTTAAGAAGAACTATTATACGCTATAAAAATAATGAAAAATGGTAAATCACCGGGTCCAGACGGGCTCACATCAGAACTTCTTAAGCTTGTGGAAGGCGAATCAGTGAATATTCTACTCGACCTTTTTAACTGCATCTACAAAAGAGGAGAAATACCAAAGGAATGGCTACTTTCAACTTTTGTAACCTTACCAAAAAAGGCAAATGCAAAACAGTGCACTGACTATCGCACTATAAGCTTAATGGGGCATACATTAAAAGTATTCATCAAAGTAATCCACTCAAGAATTAACAGAAAACTAGATGCAGATATTAGTAATACTCAATTCGGATTTCGGAACGGGCTTGGAACAAGAGAAGCACTATTTGCACTTAACGTCATATGCCAAAGATGTCTAGATATAAACCAAGATATATATATATATATATATATATATATATATATATATATATATATATATATGTGCTTTATTGACTACAACAAAGCGTTTGATAAAGTTCGTCACGATCACTTAATGAAACTGCTAGTAGAAAAAAACTTGGATAAAAGGGACATTAGAATTATCTCTAAGATTTACTATAACCAGAAAGCAAATATCCGAATAGAGCAAGAGACAAGGGAGGATCTCGAGATCAAGAAAGGCGTAAGACAGGGTTGTATACTCTCACCGACCTTATTTAATCTATACTCCGAAGACATTATAAACACAGCACTTTCGGATCAAAATATAGGTATTAAGATAAATGGCATCCGAATAAACAACTTGAGATATGCCGATGACACGGTACTAATCGCAGAAACTTGGGAAGATCTTCAAATACTAATTAACAAAATAGTAGAATGCAATGAAGAACACGGATTATCACTTAACATAAGCAAAACAAAAATAATGCTAATATCTAAATCACCACAAACCTTCCCTGACATAACCGTGCATGATCAAAGAATCGAACGTGTAAGAAGATATAATTACCTGGGAACTGTTATCAACGAAAATAATGATTGCTCTGAAGAAATCAGAACCAGAATAGAGAAAGCTAGAGCCACATTTACTAAATTGAAAAAGGTGTTCTGCGGAAGAGATCTAAGTCTAAAACTTAAAATTCGCCTTTTGAGATGTTACGTTATGTCAGTTCTCCTCTACGGGATGGAAACATGGACATTGAAAAAGATCGATACCAAAAAGATAGAAGCATTTGAGTTGTGGATGTATCGTAGAATATTAAGAATACCCTGGACAGAGAAAGTAACAAATGTGGAGGTTTTGCGGAGAGAGCGGAAAGAGAAAGAGCTGATACTTACTGTTAAAAAGCGCAAACTACAATATTTGGGACATGTTATGAGGGGAGATAAATACCAGTTGCTACAATTGATTATCCAGGGAAAGATAATGGGAAAGAGATCTATAGGAAGAAGAAGGCATTCATGGTTGAAAAACTTGAGAGAATGGTACAATTGCACCAATTACCAACTGTTTAGATCTGCAGCATCAAAAATACGCATAGCTTTGATGATAGCCAAACTTCGGAACGAAGACGGCACTTGAAGAAGAAGAAGATAAGCGTTTTAATTTAAATATAGGGTTTTTAAATAAGCTCCCCTATCTTTAAATTTAAATAGGACTACGTATGTGTGTTTTCTTTTAAATTCTCACTTTTAAACTGGCTAACGCATTTATCTACTAATTCAACTAATCTACTAAACATCAACTAATTTATTGCATATCTTAAGAAAGCAATACATACACTATTATAAAAAAGACTTTAGTTACAATTTCAAGCTAATCAGAGATCACCGAGGTAAGAAGATCTGTCCCTACACACATAGACAAACCAAGTTATCGAGCTCTTGAGATAAGCAAATCTACAGTTAAGCGTCCAATATGCCGATTCACTCATTAAATGCGTCTACAGTGATCATCATCTTACAGCATCGCGGCTGAAACTCTGACCGTAAGCTGCCTTTCATCTTTCTACTATATATCACATTCAAAAAGTGAATTTTTTTGAATTGTCAATAATTTATGAGTTATGCCAAGTATTTTCTTATTTTAAATCATATATATTTTATTTCCGTATTTATTACTTAATTACTAATTAGCAAGCTAATTTTCAATACGTCCTACTTTAAATAATGTGTCAGATATTATCAAAATTTTTATTCGTTTGAAAGATTAAAAATGGAATATAAAATCGTTTAAATGTTCGCAGCACGATAATTGCATCTGAAATGTCTGATTTTCCATGACCCTGGTGCATAAATCAGGCTGAATTTCACCGATGGCATGGATTATGTTGGCTTTGGGCCTCTGTGGTTTATGACTTGATCGCATAGATCGGCTATTTACGAAAACCACCCAAGAAAGAGGCTAACGGAGTCAAATCGCAGGATATTAGTGGTCAGTTGACATCACCTCCATGTAAGATGTGGCATAAAACCACATGTCGTTGCTCTCCATATCATTCAATTAATATTAAAAGGAGTTGCTAATCATAATCATCGACGTATAGGACAATGATGGTATGTTTGCTATGGAAGAGGAACTCTAGTCACTAGAACTTTCTTCAAATTGCCACCAATATTGTCAGAAAACAGATTAATTTTATCATGATTAGTACGAGATTTGGAAATGCAATATTTTGAGATAGAAGATATCCCAGTGCAGACATAAAATTGGATCACAATCCACTGATGGACAAACTTTTTCTCAAATTGAAAACAAATAAGGGAACCAAAAGAGAACAGTATCATTTAAGAATTTAAGATATACCTACAAAATAAACAAGAAATACACAACGTAAAGCAAAAAATTATTAATATGACTAGTGGGAAAGCACAATGAATATAGAAAATGACATCGCAATACTCAATGATATGAATCAAATATAAATAAACTAATGTGTTTGAGAACAAGAAGAACGAAACAGAAAGTGTCGATGAATGATTTGGATCTTAACTGTACTTTTGGAGGCCATATTTTTGTCACTTTAGCGAACTTTGTTTATGCCACTTCTTTTATTGACTCTATTGAGCATCTTTTTCTAAGTTGTGTATGCGGTCTATTCGCTTTATATCCTCGGTGCACAAGTCAATTCTCATAATATACTCAGTGACATTAGAAGGAATAATTTCTAGAACTTAATTTTTTGGCAACAGAATGACTATATTTACAACATGCTATGATAACAATACCAATGTTTTATCTTTTCTACTTTTTGTAAAAATAAAGTGTTATTTTAAAATTTTTTTTCTGAAGAGACCGATTTGTGAAAACCGGTTCGTATAGAAATGTTTAGTTATGTGTCCTCGTGTTCGAAGACACCAAAACTACCACCATGTTAGCGATTTTGACAGGGGTAGAATTATTGCATATAGAGATATGGGTTTTGTCGTATCGCGAAATTGTCAGGATAGGCGTTTAAGCAAAGAATATAGACGCTTATAGAATATAAGCGTCTATATTCTTTGGTTTAAGATTACTGGCTGGTTTTGCTACTACGCGTCAAATGACCGATGGTTTGGAGTAGTAGGTAGACCTGTTAGTATGCGTATACTATACCGTCGCATTCGAGCATTTGGACTGATTTCATTCCGCAAACGACTCGATCATCTCATTTTGTCAATGTCTAGACGTATATAGGAGTGTATTCAGCTACGGGATCGCCACACATTTTTTTTGATTACTTGTTAATAAAAATTCTTGACAACGTAATCATTTCATTCTTGATGTAAATCTACCAATGTTGCCAAAAAATTAAGTTCAAAAAATTATTCCTTCTGCGTGTAATACTTCTAATGTCACTGAGTATATAAACATGGAACGTACACATATGACATGTTCTATGTATTTCAGTGTTCAAAAAATGTACATCGATAGTTTAGATCAACAACATAATGTAAACATGGAATATAAATAGACGACATATTTTATTTAGTATTCAAACATGTACTTGGATATTTTAAGTCATCAGCAAATAGGACCAAACATATTTTATCAGCAAGTTGGTGCCACTAGGATGTAGAAAGAGCAGAAGATTTAATCATAAAAAATAACGCTGTTTATCAATAAAGTACATCAAAAAGATTAATGGAAGTATAGTACTATGTAAAAGTAAATCTACAGTCTTTCTAACAACAAACAACTAAGTGGTTTATAAAACTAGCGCTTTCTAAACCCTAGTGACCTTTTATTTGCTACTTAAAATACAAATAACGAAAAATAAGCATGTTGACTACTACAATATACCGTTTATCAGATTAATACTGTTAGACATGCTTTTCCAGCCTTGCGTGCCACGACGACCGCATAATTGACATTCCGTTTCAAATAAATAACGGAAACATCATGTGACTTCTCTAAATTGCTTATTGATCTACTTTTCTTCGGAAATAAAATTGAATTTAGATTTCCTGACTAGGTATCTGCTAATCAGACAGGAAAGCAATTATTAATAAAATTAATGTGAATTATAAATCATCAAAAAGTGGCGGAGTTATCTCGCTCTTTTTAGTGTTTTTATTTAGTCTAATAAAACTGCATAAGTTGCTAGGATTTTATTTTGTTGTCCTTTTTGGCATAAAGAACCTTAATTCTTTTTCTTGAGTCTTTAGGGTATTATCATTCCAGCGGTTTAGGTGAATTTGAGTGAAATACAAAATCAAACGAATGTCTCCTAATCGTTTCAAACTCAAATGTTTATCGTACAAAGCGGCAGTATCTGATGAGGCCATGGGATGCCGAAATTACCTCATAACGTTTTGTTGTTCACCAATTCGAACACGAGATATTAATTAATTATGCTCCCACGCCATATACTGGATTTAATACATCAAAGCGATAGCAAACTTTTGCTAGAAGATGTACACATGTTGTCAAGCGCAAAGGACAGAAAACGCTATTATTACATCGTTTTAATAATTTAACAATTGTTAATAACAATTAGAAGACATTTGTTGGCCTTCCGTGTCTAATTTTGGCAAAGGGCCTGCCATATATGTATGTATAAGTAATATCATATAATATTATGACGTACCTGAAAATTCATTGTCGATGGCATCTTCAATGGAATGTCCGATCATACTTTCGTATTCGTCGAAAATGAGTTTAAGTTGTCTTTTATTTTTTAGGCAAAGAATGGAATTGAAAACAGATTCTTCGGTTCCCCAGGACGATTCACCGGCATCGTATAGTGCTTGGGCATCGGCAATGGCTGCGTTTTTGTCAACCAACCCAGAGTCGTCTCTACCACCCTAAAATAAAAGTCGGTTAAATATTACTAATGCAAAAAAATAACATGTAAATATAATAGACAAATTAGAATACCGCAAAGAAACTATATCGACTATGTAGGTAGTATGTCACGAACATTCTTAGAAAAAATTTCACATTAATGAATACAGCCCAAGAATCAATTTTATTTAATAGTTTTTACTGAGAAAAAAATATATTTAAGTAACAGATAACCTTTTCTTCTATGACAGATAAGTTTGTACGAATTCGTCATACAAACGTAGTCTTTGAATAATATATATTTCAGAAATATTTAAAAAAAATCAATAGTCTTCGGCCAGACACTTGTGCAGACACAAAGCAGGTGGCGCCTCTGCTCGCACACCACTGTAGTGGTAAAGCTTTAGGAGACATCGTTCTACTTTCCGTGTTTGAATTTGTATCAGCCCAAGTGTCTGACGATGGCTGGGATAGGCCGAAATGATCATAACACTTTAGTGATGCCGATTCGAGCACGGGAAGTTTAACGAATTTGTCCTCCTAGGCCATATATTTGGCCAATTTAATACACTCAACTCTTATTTATCAAATCACATTTATCGGAGAAGGTTATATCAACCATTAGAGAAGCAATAGTGCTTCATATGATTCATCCTGGATTGTGAGTCAAAGAAAAAAACTTGATGATAGATGAAAACTAATTACAATTTTAAAACCAGGATGCATGAATACCTCAAACTGAATAAAACAGCTCAAAAATCAAACTCAACAGAATTTTTTTTCAAATTACTCCCCGGTGTTATCTGCCTTCAGTGCGTATAACAGTGTTAGTCATCATGTGACCTAGATGATCGTGATATCGTTAACTTATTCGTGATAATGTTGGGAGCAACGGATTTGGTTGTACAAACGCCACATGCCGACAAAAGACCTCTCCATTACTCAACCTGAGTCACGACGTCGAGTCACATTTTTGTAGGTCAACAAGCCTACACCATAGACGTCGATCTGTCTCTCTCTAATGCCTTGCACCTCTTCACTCTCTCTCTCTCCCTCACCAAAAGGTACGCTGCTATATTTACATGATGTAAGAGAGAGAGAGAGAGAGAGAGAGAGAGAAACACAACGAACAACGAAAAAAAGAGCTTGTCGTCACTTAGCTCTACCCTTTTCTCAGTCTTTATTGTCGGGACGTGTGTGGGCCGGTTTAAAGCAGACGCGTAGTAAAAATGCATTACATTGTACTTGAGAAAGACACTCTGCTGAAGCCGGTGTAGTGAAAATAAATTATAATAAAATTTTATGGAAGTGTAGAAAACTAAATATAGGGGAATGGATGGGTTATTTCCACCAATTTTCCGTAGCGCACCAAACCCTCGTGGTGACCTGTCGAGTTTTTGTTATATTCTGATTTGATTGGTAAGCTGATTCGTGTATTTTGCCTCTTGTGGGGGTGAAAATTAGGTACAACACTTTTATTAGCGGTTTATTATACTTCCACAATACCTTTTATGTAAACACTTTTTTGACTATGTTTTTGTGTAGCACAATTGAGAGAGAGAGAGAGAGAGAGAGAGAGAGAGAGAGAGAGAACAAAGTCTTGATCGACTTAACTTGAAATACTTAATGCGACTAGAAAGGGTAAAGGGGTGTGCGGGCTGAAGAGGTGTCAAATACGCTGACGATCGTCTGTCTTTTTTACTATAATACTTAGTACTTACTTAGTATACTTATAGTATATAGTATAATACTTAGTACTTAATTTATAATACTTAGTATAATTTGATTATAAACTACACAGGCAGCGCTGCGTTAAATTAAATTGGAGCAGGGAAAAATTAGTTGGTTTTCCAACACTAAAGTTTTTAATTTTCAGTGTTTTTAGATAAGCAAATATGTTATTAAAATTTCTTAAAGTTCAAAGAAATTATTCGCAAAGATAGTAAAACTACTAATAACTCAATACTAAATACTTAAAAGCAAAATTGAGTTTTAATGACTTTATAGAATAAAGGTGTTTTGGGAGAATAATTACAAAAATATAAATTTTTTATTAAATATTTGTTATACAATATATGAAGGGTTTGGAATAAAAAGGGTATAAGTGCGTATTTTTTTTAAATATGAGATAAGTACGTATTATAAAATTTAATATTCTATATTTTTAGAATAATAAGGGTATAAGCTTCAAACGTAACATATAGTGCCATCTACGAGCTAGTAGAAAAATCTACTAAAGAAATCTTCAAAATGTGTTGGAATAGAAAAGGTATAAGCATTACTTATACCGTTTCTATTCCAAGCGACGAAGCGATTCCGAGATTTCCGAGCATAGTGAGCTTTGTTAAAACGTGTTGCATTAATTTTGTGTGATCTACATCTACATAATATGGAAAATTGTACAGGTAAATTGTTTTTAGAAATATTATTGTGTATGTATAATACGAATAAACGTAAATATTTACCCTACAGAATAAGTAAACAGTAAAAAAATTAGGTTGTGTTTCTGATTTTAAAATTATTTATTTTTATTTTTTAAGATATTGAAACTGCTGAAGACCCTTATTCCACCGATAGCGGGAGTAACTACAATCCATCCTCTGAAGAAGAAACTCTAGAAAGTGATAGTTCAGATAGTAATCAAGATGTTTGCATCGGTAAGTGTGGTCCAGTATATGTATTAGTTATGCTGCCTGTTTATTTATATGATAAAAATGATATAATATTAAATTTGATATCATTACGTATATACAGGGTGTTTTATTAATTATTGGAAATATTTTAACTCTTGATTCCTGGGCTAAAAATATTAAGATTTAACTGATTTACAGGGTGTTTTATTTAAGAATTTAAAAAGTATTTGTGCCCAGTACTTTAAAGATATTGGACAGATTGTATATTTACAATAAGTGGACATAAGTGTATTTTATTTAAGTGATTTGGGTTAAATATTAATAATTTGAGCCCAGGAATCTAGAGTTAAAATATTTCCAATTATTAATGAAACACCCTTTATATGTATAGGTCAATTTGCTCTACTCTATTTATTCCTTTGTATTTTAGATACCAATATTAAGCCAAGAAAGAGGCAGAAAAAGAAGTCCGAATGGAAAGTAAATAAAACGAAAATGCTTAAAACCCAAGGCAAAGAATACATTGGGTACAAGAACAAGCTGCATAGAGAAAGAAAATTGGTGAAATTTAGTCACAGTTGTAGATATAAGTGTAGTTCAAATTTTACAGAGGAAATAAGACAAGAACTATTTGACACTTTTTACAAACTTCCGACTTATGACCACCAGACCTCATACTTGTCATCTTGCATAAAGAAAACTGAAGTGACTAGAAAAAAATCCGGCAATATAAAGCGCAAGTTTAGTACACAAATAATCCTTATGAATCAACGAGTATGTAAGGAGTTTTTCTTGAAAACGTTTGATATTACCAATAGGAGATTTACAGTAGTGTGCCAAAAAACCAATAATTTACAAATGTGTGAGCCAGATAAGCGAGGGAAGGGTCCGAGTAAACGAAAAATGAGTGAAGAAAAACGTAGATTGGTGATTGAACATATAAAACAATTTCCTAAATACAGTAGTCACTATTCACGCCAAGCAAATGTAAATGCTAAATATTTAGCACCCGAACTGACCTTAAAAAAATGTATGATCTCTACAAGGCTGATTGTGAGGCACAAAATTTTACTGCTGTAAAACTATCATATTACCGATTTGTTTTTAATACAGATTTCAATTTGAGATTCCATCGGCCACACTCTGATACATGTTCACGATGTGATTCATATCAAAACATTATTAAACATAACCAAGAGGAATCTAAAATTTCGGAAACAAAAAAACTGTTAGAATTGCACCAGCGAAAAGCACAAAAGGCATTGGCGTGCAAGAATGCAGATATTGAGCGTTATAAAGGGTCAGAAGATACAGTAGTTCTATGCTTCGTTTTGCAACAAACCCTACCCACTCCCTTGTTGACCACATCTAAGGTATTCTATCTACGACAGCTATGGACATATAACTTTTGTGTTTATAATTTACTCAGTGGAACCCCTCATATGTTTGTATGGAATGAAAGTATTTCAGGAAGAGGTTCTCAAGAAATTGGATCTTGTTTATTCAAGGTAGTACCGCAATATTTTGCTATTTTTACTCATTTATATTTTTTTATTTTTATTTTAGTTTATCACAATGCTACCACCAAACATAAAAAGAGTTATTGCTTATAGTGATTCTTGTGGTGGGCAAAACAAGAATAAAAATATCTGTAAATTATTCATGTTTTTGGTAAAAGCAACTCAAATAGAAGAAATTAGTCATAAATTTCTTGAACCTGGGCACACCTATATGGAATGCGATAGGGCTTTTGGACTAATTGAAAAATCGAAAAGAAAAAATCCTCAAGTATTTTTACCAGACCATTGGATAGACGTGATAAAAAGCTCATCAAAGCGTTTTATTGTACATTCCATGAGACAAGAAGATTTTTTGTCTTATTCAAAACTTAATAAAATTGTCAATGATCCCAAACGAGACTGTGAGAACCAAAGTATTAAATTTCGGGATATACAGTATTTTAGATATAATAGCACCGAAGAGCCCTTTTCATTCTTTTTTAAATCCACCTTGGATGAGGAATTTCCTTTCTATCAGTGCATTTGTAAGATAATGTCCTCTGGTCGCCCATCTTTTGACAGCAAACTTATATTATTTTGCAGTACAAATAACTGCAAGAAAATTAACATAAAGAAATGGAAGAATTTACAGACTCTTCTTGAATTTATTCCTCCTATTTATCATTATTTTTATACATCAATGCAGTATGAATCGAATACAGCGAAAAATAAAAGAAGAGCTGTACAAATTACAGAAGCACCAGAGTTTTCTGAATTTCCTGATGATGATGATAATACAATATTATCCTCTGATGATGATTAAAATGTTATTCATACCAGTCTGGAAATAAACAGTTTAATTTTCAAATATGTACTTTTATTTAGAATAAAAACGGTATAAGTACATTTGTTTCAATAAAATTTTTTTTTTCTAATACTTTTTATTTTTACATTTGGAACCAAAAAATAAGCTCCTTACAAAATTGATGTAAGCATCATACTTTACCTAAATTATTTTAGTAATTTACAGTGATGAATTAACTTTAAGTCCAATTATCTCAAAACAAGGTTTAATGCACTTATACCGTTTTTATTCCAAACCCTTCATATTACTATTCTTATACATACCGTTGACAAGGAAACGAGAAGTCTCTGTAACGTGCCTGACTCATCACCTCGAATGGCGTCTTCTAAAGAAGTTTCATACACTGAAAGAAAAAGGTTATATTATAACATAAATATACAACGGATTTAGGAATTCACGTAAGACAGTGGAACTTTGATTATAAATAAGGCAAATTAAATTATTTTTTTTGTATTACCAAGTAAAAAATCGAAATAATTAAATTAATTTGTATTTTGAGAGCGATTTCTGAAATTTTGGTTAAAAATAACAAAAATATCCTACAATGAAATATCTCCAGAAGTATTAAGTATTTCATTTTCAATAGGTTACAGAGGAATTAATTTATTAAACACAACACTTAATTTAACAACCAAAGTAATAATAATATAAATTGAATGAAATTATAACACTAGCAGAAGAACACCAAGGTTTTAGGTCGGGCAGATCATGCATCGACGCTATATTTACTCGTATAATGAGGCAAGTGCAAGAGAAATCATTAAAATACAACAAACCGGCGTATCTATGTTTCGTGGAACTTACAAAGGCACTTACTGTATGCAAGAGAGATACACCTAGTAATAATAAAAAGGATGGAGAATATCTACCAAAACAACACAATAAAAGTAAAAGTAGAAGAAGAAACTAACCGACCCTATTGAAGCTGGAAATGGGATAAGACAGAGAGATTCCCTAAGTCCTCTATTGTTGAACCTGACTATGGATGAAATAATAAAAAAAGTAAGAACAAAAAAAGGATACCAAATGGGAGAAAAACAACCTAAAATAATCTGCTATGCAGACGACGCAATACTACTCGCTCAAAGTGAAGATCATTTACAACGTATGCTGCATCAATTTAATATAACTGCCAAAAAATGTTAATTTCCCCAACAAAGACAAAATGCATGGCTAAAACAGCAAATTTACTAAGATTGGAGCTAGAAGGTCAGATAATAGAACAAGTGATGGAGTTTAAATATCTAGGCATTACATTATCTAGCTACGAAAAGGGTGAAACCGAAGTGGAAGATCAAGTGAATAGAGCAAACAGAGCCGCAGGCTGCCTAAATAAAACAATATGTAGAAATAAAAATATCGGGAAAGAAACGAAAGGCAGAATTTACAAAACAGTCATCAGACCAATAATGACATACGCGGCAGAAACAAGACCTGACACAGAAAGGACAAAAATGATGTTAGAAACAGCAGAGATGAAAACACATCAAAAACTGGGTAAGAAATAGAAGAGTAGAATAGAACGATCATTATAAGCCGAATGACAACAAATAGAGTAGTAAAGAAAGCAAGAGACGGTTTCCCAATAGGAAGACGATCGGTAGGAAGACCACGAAAACGATGGAATGACAACTTACTGGAGGCACATTGAAAAACAGACAGAGTCATGTCTATATAAAAAGAAGAAGAAGAAGAAGAAGATTTTCAATAGGTTACAATAACTTAGTTTTATTAAATACTAGCTGACCAGGCGAACTTCCTAGGTACAGCCTTAGAATTAAATGTTGTATCAAAGTTCAATAAGCTCTCCTTGCGAGTGTGTTAATTGAAAGAAATCTCCGGTTAATGAAATGAATACGGTCGAGATGACAATAGCGACTTTACCATTTTAAATATATAACAACTGTTTCGACAATAAATACAATTGCACTTTGATCTTGTTGCAAAAACACCCGGTTGTTAGTGACAACTAGGATCAACAGGTCAACAAATTAAATAATGTTATGCATGCGTTTAGTTTGTCTGCAGCACTTAATTGGGGAATAATTATTAAATAATAAACAATCTCGAAATAGAATCATGGCTCCACTAAAAATGTTTTTGATTGTCACGAATATCTTTCAAAGTTCTGTCCAGTCACCGTAATGACCTCTTGTGAACCAATGTACATTCATCCCAAACGATTAATTTGCTTACCCGTAACATCTTCGCCATTGCTCTATTTTTGGAGGGTGATGTTGCAATCTAGTGTTTCATTAATTTGTATGTTTAATGGTAATTTCAAGTCAAAATTTGAAATCCGCCCGTCTTCCAATAAAGTTGCAGATATTCCAGATGAAGCCAACACTAGATATTGCGATCTGATCTTTGTCAATAACAATAAAATTAGTCCATGTTTTTCTGTCCATCCGAAGCATAAATTAAGTAAATGCTATCAGATTCAATATTCACAGCTTCTATCAACGTATTGTATGCAATTCTTTGCATAAATGCTTCAGTATTGAACTGTTGTTCTATTTGTATCTGTTGTTTTCTTTCATAAAGTCACAAAATAAATGAATAACATTTATTTACTGTCACATATTCACATAAACATATTCACTCCGAACTCCTTTATTATTGAGCACAGACACACCAGAGATTTTCTCGAGGAACTCATATCATAATATGCTTTCTCAAGATCAACGAATACCATATGAGCGTTTGTTTCTTTATTACCATATATTCCTTGTGTTTTCCTTACTCTATATTTGGCCATTTTATATTATCTTATATAAGTAATAAACCTATTGTAAAAACTAAAAATACTCGACATTTCACAGATCGTTAAATCAGCAAGTTTTGTTGTATTTTCCTCATAAAACATACAATCCGATTTATTTATACATATACATATCTTCCGGGCTTGACATAAACAAAAAATTGTACGACTTTTTACTACACGCATAATTAAATTCTAAATGAATGAAATATATCAGGAGGCAGATCTAACCGCCTTTTTTTCAAGGCTGTGCAACGTAGGAACCGGAGAATAAGGGCAAGGACAAGATGAAAAGGGTAAGGGCCGATCGTTACAGGATATAGGATGGTATGTAATCAATAAGACGTTTTCGGGAATCAACAGCCCTAGAAATTGGATTTCAGGAGATTTGTTTGTTTTTATGTAGATAGTTTTTGCTACGATTATGTGATGTTGATAAACAGATACGACTTGTACAAAGGAGATTAAGAAAATTGGGTCAGCAATAAAAGAGGAAAAGGTTAAAGTGATTTAAGACGCCTTTCGATTTGTACGGAATTTTAAAAATAGACTGTTGTGTAAATTGTCTGTTTTCAAATGTTATTATAGTTTTTATAACATATTCACTGCATTCATTTATATTCAAAACATTTTTAATAACTCGAAAAAATATTCGAAAGTCTTTCCTTTATATAAATTGTAATAAATCCTAGCGACTATAAAAATAAATGCTTACCCATTCACTAGACCTGTGACTAGCTGGTATAGGGTTCCAGAATTCTGGTATTGATATTATGAAGCAATGGAAGAGGTTTATAATAGAAAGCTAAATATTCTGCGCAATGAAATATTCCATAAAATTTATTTAAGGATTTATACACAAAAATACAAGGTAGTCTATAGAAAATATTATAATGTAGAAATATTTCAATAATTTTTTGTTGACCTTAATACGAGCATGACCTCCAAAGCAATTCTAGCGTAAATTTATTATGGAGGTAAATGGATTTAAAAACGGTGTAAACTATTGTACGCAGAAACCATTAATAACCATGTATATAGTGAATAAGTGCCATGATCCATCGGCGGGACTGTTACGAAGAAACTGGAACATTTATTACATACAAAAAAAAATAAATTGTATAATCCAACTATTATTACCTTCCGAAATTAGATGGGCATTCAAACCAGTATTAGAATTTCACACCGAAGCAAACTTTACTTTTATATCGACCACAAAGTAATTTACAGGAAAATGTAGTAGAAGCAATAATAAGAGCTACAGCAATGCAAAAAAAGTTGTGCCAAATCAAGCTGTCTTACGTCACGTTCACTGCAAACATTAAAGTGGATGATTAGGAGAAGATTGAGAAGAAGGCATATTAGTTCTCGGAGTGCATCTAGATAACATTAGATATGCTGACAACGCAATAGTTTTGCAGATAATTTAGAGACTTACAAAAACTAATGGCACGCATATCATGAACTTTGCTACGGCTTTGATGAATGGAGACGCCGAATATATAAAAATATATAAAAAAGCCAAAGCTCTTGTTAAAATTTGTAAATCTTTTACACATTTTGTACAGATCAAAAAGACAGAAAACGACAGTAATTTTCGTTTAAAGCTACCAAAATATGTGGCGCTTTTTTCAGCATTACACTAGAATAGTGGAAATGGCACGACACATTCGCTGATTTTCGTGTTTGAGCTAGTATCTTCCCGACTGTCTGAAGACGTAGGGCATACAGAAATGACGTTATAACAGTCTATTGATATTAATTCATACACGGAAAATTTGACGAATTGTGTTTCTTTCGCCCGTTTATTTTTAATATTCAGCATCTTAATTCATATATATATATATATATATATATATATATATATATATATATATATATATATATATATATACTCTATAATATAAAAATGAATTGCAATATGTTTTGGTAAGCGCATAACTCAACATCGCATGGGCCAATCGTAACATTTCTTTTTTTAAAATGTTCCTTGAAGTCTAAGGATCGTTTTTACGGTGAAAAATATTCGAATAATTTCCCGGAAAATCCTAAAACAACCCTTTTCTTTTTCTCATACAAATATTTTCTAACTAAATGTATAGTCAATTTGAACTGTTTTGCCATTTGATTTTCGTTAAACATTGCCAGTGATTCCACAATTAACGCCAGCTGATGAACTCAATGCATGTTTAAAGTCCTCCAATTTGTGGAAACATGTCAAGGTATTAAACTAAAGCAAGAATATGCGTGTCGAGTTGCAAAATGACCAATCTGGAGATATATTCTCTTAACAACTCATTGACATTGGTAATTAGACGAGTCAAGTTAGTAGAAAATAAGCGTTTTTTCGTCACAAGTGTATAGACGGGTTTGACAGTTGAAATGGATAGTATGAGATATTACAAAAAGACTCTCATCTAGGGATTCATGAATTTTTTAGTGGAACTATTTTTAAATAAACAATTAAGACGTCAATATCATTATTTTGCTCATAACTTATAAACTTGTCTATTTAGAGATTTGACGTCCACAGACGAGTTGTTGAGAAAGAAAAAATACACAAAACGAGATATACTAAATTA